GAATAAATGCCATTGTGAAAGTTAAAATTCTAGACTGCAAACTTGTTTATTTTATTTAATTGCAACTCATAATAGCAATAATATAATTGAATTAGAACCATTCATCTATAGACTATATTGTAAAAAATAAAGATATTTTGAAGATATTTTTTACATAAAAAAAATTATATCACGATTAATTGTAATATACTCTATTGTGCAACGAATAAATTTATTTTTTGGTATTAATATAAATTTTACACATACCACCATTTGTAAAGCAGCTCGAAACTGTTCATGTGTAAGTCTCTGCTCTGTTTGTTTATTGGTATTGTTCGAACTTGCACTAACTGCTAAGTTCCCTGAGGAAACAGCACTTTTCAAATTCTGATTTTGATCTGGAGTAGAACTAGTTCCTGATACTGCAGACGGTATGTTAGGCTTTGATAAATTATGCATTGATTGGGACGTTTCCATCGGCTTCTTCAAATGTGATTGGAGATTAGATGGATTCTCAGACATATATGCCTGAGAATATTTATTAATATTATGTGAACTCAGTTGACTCAGAGGTCGTTGGGAAGCTATTGAACCCACTGGCGAAATTTTTGGCTGTAATTTGTATAATAAGACATTTTGGCCAGCTTGATGTTCCCTCGATGGATCTATAGTCGAACCCTATAAACCAAATAATATTACTATACAATTGTATATACTCTAGAATATATATTTTGTTTTTTTTAAAGTCTAACAGAGACTAATATTTTAACTTTTGCATCTTGATAGAATGTGCTTATATTGTCTTTCCTGCCCAATTGAGTTAAAAGATTCAACATACGTAATTTTGTTAGATTATTAAGAAACAAAACTATATAATTACATATTATTAAGTTAATTTAAATGGTGATTATATATAAATATGCAAATGTTTTCAAATTGCTGGAATTTTAATGTCTCATATACATATATATATATAAATGTATACAATGAAATTGTATATGAGTTCAAATAATATTAATATTTCACATATACATATTAGATATATATATATATATATATATATATCTTTTTCAATGTATGATATCTAATAATTATACTGTGATAATTACCTGTACATTGCCATTATAATGACCTGATGTCATAGCCATTTGCGAATTTAGTCTATGAAATTCTGTGTCAAGAAGTTGCGGGGTATTTGGACTTTGTACTGGAGCTTGCGAATTTACAATAGGACTTAAGTTTTGGAAATTTAAAGATAAGTTTGGTACATTTGATCCCGAGTGAGTTAAATTTGGCGAAGATTGCATATTAGGATTGAGATTTTGAAGATTTGGGAGCATGTTCTGCATACTGGAATTCAGTCCACTGCCAACATTCGGTGAATTTTGTCTTAGTTTATCGATGTAGTTATGTGGCTTGCCAAAGTTCGTAAAGCCCTGATTAACATTTGAAGGTACCTCTTGGCCTTCAGGGACGGATGGTGGAAGATTGCTGTTATGTCTGTAAAATAAGAAAATAAAAGAAAAAATTATGCTGTCATTAATCTCATTGATCTCATCAAAATATTTCTATAAATAAATAATGCAAGAATATCTAATGTACTTAAGATGCTTAATTTATTTCTATCAACTACAGAGATACTAGATATAGTTGTATGTTTACAGTGCCAGTCTTTATCAATAAAAATTTTGCTATACATTATGACATATATATACGTTTGTATCATTCTTTATATAAATCTACATATTTGATGCAACATAATAAATACATCTAAGAAAAAGCTAAATTACCTGTAATCTCTCCTGAGTCGCGGTGGACTCGAAGAACGAAGAGAATTGGAACGGGCGACTGTACTAGTCTTAGGCAAGCCATTCTCGACAGTTCTATCAGTGGCAAGTGGTCTGTTTATTCTAGGATCATTATGGCCTCTTACGATGGTCTTCAAGTCAAGGATCTCAGTAGGTGTGATCTCGCTTGGATCGACCAAGGGCAGTGGTCTGTTGGTAGACTTCAGAATCTGATTATTCCCGACTATGGAAGCCCATTGCAGCGGCAATCCAACGAACTTGCCCTCACGTTTATCAAATCCAGTATGCACTCTGTGCTCAAAGTTAGTTGGAGTGGAGATCTGTGGTTTCTTTTTCTTCTTGGTAAACATTATCCCTGCATTCAAAGCAACTCAAATTATTAAGATCGTGCCTATGAGACAAACGAATATTGTAACATAGTAATTTCACTGGCAATATCATCTAACAGCGACTGTTCTATTAACAATAAAAGTACGCGGTACGTTCTGCCTGTCAGAGGTGTATGCCACTTGCACACGCTTATCCCTTAACCACAGCCGCCCATGTATTCCGCGGATAGCTTCACTGGTCGAAAAGACTCTGTGACATGTGATTTGTACTACTATAGTATAAATCAAGCGTACAAGGCGCAGGAGTATCATGAAAATGTGTGAAAAGAGCGCGGGGCGAGAGAAGCCAAGTGACAGCAACGCCTACCGTGCGACGATACGATCTCTACGATGCAGCCCCGCTGAAGCTCACCAAGTTGGGATTAGTGAAATACGCGAGGACGTGCTCCTCGGACAGCTCAAGCAACTCGTGGAGTGGATGCGGAATGCAATGATGTCGAAACATAGGCGATGTCGCGCGTTAAAACACATAAATACGCCATTCATCCGCCTCAACAGGAACGACAGGTCGCACTTCGCACACCGGCGCTCCGCACGGTGAGCTTACGAATCTTTCGTGGCATTTAGTTCATGACAATTTGTTGAAACGTGCATGCGTCGCGGCGCAGGCGCGCGCGCGCGCGCAAGGTAAATGCGGCACCTGCGCGAGCGAGCGTGAAAACGGAGGCCGCACCACGGACGTACCGGAAACGAGCGGGATAGAATGCGGGAGAGAAAGTGATCGTGAGATCGTGATCGCGGAAAAGGAATAACCGCGTGGAAATTCATCGATCAAAGATCGCACGATGAGATCCAGCTCAGTGAAACTTGTATCTAGGATTATTAGCCTTTGAAGAATATATATGTACTCTTTTTTGAGGTCATAAAACTTAATAACTGATCATTAATTAAAATTTTATTTATTTATATAAAATTATATTAACAAGAATTAATTCATTATGTTAATAAGAATTATCAATAAAAATTATATTATAGAAATTTTATTTTTTAAATATCTGTATATAATGCATAAAAAAATTATAGTACCTCCTTCTAATCTAAATTAACGTGTTTCTATTTTTTTCATTCAAAATAAATGACGAATAAAGTAATAAAGAATACGGTTAAACAAAATAATGCAAAAAAGTTATTCCTATTATTTTCATTATTTAAAAATTATATTTTATAGAAATAAAAATATTTTTTAAACTTTTATTTTTATTAAAAGACTTTACTCTTTAGGATATTCAATATGACAAAAATAATAAATTGAACAAATAACTAAAATGGCTAAGATTAATTTAATAAACAATTATATTGTTAGTTTATTATGTTTTGATATTTATATTTGATATGTTTTTATTTTAAGTAAATATTGTATTTTATGAATCGAATGAAGTATATTACGAAAAATATTTTTAACTGTGTGTGTAATGTTATTAATGTATTTGCGCGCGCGCACACACACACCCACACACACACGCACACACACACACTTATATGAAAAGTAAGGTACTTTAATGAAGTATCCAAAAAAGGTATATAAAATCTGACCATGCCTTTCGCGTGGTGCATCTTGAATAATGCTGACACCGGGCAGTACTTAAACTTTAACGGCGCACATCTGAAATAGTTTTATTTCATCAAATGACATTTAATTATACCGTTTTGAATAGGTTTCAAGAGACGTCAGTTATAAGTTTTTGCAATAAAAGGATTCCTCTTTTTTATTTGAAAAAATCAAAATGACCTTGATATGGCATTCCTAAAATCGTTCAAGATCAAACCAATATCATCACATGATAGATAATTTGGTACTTTTATAAGAACAATTTTTTCCGAAAATATCGTCTTCGCTACGAATTAATTCCAACACCTAATATATATACAATAAAAATATGAAAATTTATAATATTTTGATAGATGAGCATTATAAAATTAATGATGACCTCGTACAATTGACCCAGCGTATTAAAGTCTCGACACAGTTGGTTATTGTTCGGTCGATTTTATGGTTTAATTCTCGGTTAGTTAAGCGCGCACTAATTGAGATGACTTTCAACTTCAAGTAATGTGATTGAAGTTTTCGCTTAGAAACTTCTTTTAAAACGGATCACGTAAATGGAAATTAAATAAATTTGAATAAAAGTAAAGTAACTATTCTTTAGCAGAAGATAAAAATGAAAAAAATTGTTTTTTATAAATGTATTACTTCTTACGATAAGAGTACAAAATAGAAGAATACACTTACATTTTTTTAATGATTTTTTTTTATAATGTTTTGTCTTCAACTAGATAGACGCATAAAACTTTTGGTGTTTTTAATAAATAAAATGTTTCTTTTAAAATAAAACAGAATTTTTCTTCACGTTTCTTAATAAGGAAAGAGGTAAGGAAGAGAGAGAGAGAGAGAGAGAGAGAAAGAGAGAGAGAGAGAGAGAGGAATTTCACGTACACTATCCATATAACAACTAATTCCTAAGAATTACCATGTCACGATGAAAAAAAGTTTCTATAAGGATGCATCAATAATGTATCAACCCATGAACGCGATATTATTTTTTTTCTCAATTGTCTTTATTTTATCGAGCATGCAAAAACTTCGAAGTCAATGCCTTCTAGATCAATTTTCTTTTACCGAACACTGAGGGACACCGTAGTACATTAATCATATGAAATAGTCACTGCACTTATAATACGCAATATTTATTATGTATCGATTATTCTATAGACCCTATGTTTAATACGTGAATACGTCATGTCACGAATATGCGCGATGATACTCGACTAGTGGGGATGAAAATATTTTTTTTGACGAAGGAAAGTAGTACGTGACTGACCTTAGATATGGATGCTATTAGACATTCGGGATATACAGGTTCGTTATTGTTTTTAACTTTCATTAAAAAAACGTTTGTTTAATGCTTTGTTTGCTTAATAAGTGATAAAAAAAAACACTCATTATTTTGTTACATATTAATATATACATTTATACAAATTTATCATTTCATGAAATATGTAGATATATCTTATATGTATAAACTTTTAAACAATTTTTAAATAATTATTTTTGAATAATCTATATCTATTTATTGAAAAATTGTATCATTATTGTATATAATTTATGTTATAAGAAAAATGTAAAAAGTATGATTGGATATTCAATTTTTTTCAAGCCGAAGAAGATAAAACAACAGACAAATTTGAGATATTAAAAGAAATGTTTTATTTGTCTGAAATCATAGAAATATGTCCGATATGGTAGAATTAATGAATTTACACTTTGATAGTTAGATTTTGAATGGGCAGTAGAATTAAATCGCTATAGCCTGGAATTTATCGGACTTTGGCCAAAAATGAAAGAAACGACGCAAGAAAAATTAATGTCTAATGTACGAGTGTTACTGTTAATAATTATGGTAACTTTTTTTGGTGTAATTCCCTGCATACATTCTTTGATAAGAGTTTGGGGCGATTTAATGTCGATGACAGACAATTTACAATTCACTTTACCTTTAGTGTCGATGATAATGAAGCTCATCGTCATGTGGAGCAAAAAAGCTGGTAAATAAATCTCCCTTGTAGCATTTTGACACAGAAAAGAAGCTGAATCCCTAAAAACAGTATTAAAACATATCATTATATAATAATAACATTAAGTCTTTAATAATTATATTAGGTGTTGGAATTAATTCGTAGCGTTTTTTAATGAAAGAATGTTATTTATTTCACATGAGCATTAAAAAATACATTAATGAAAGTACTTCCCATCACTTGTAAAACGCTACGAATTAATTCCAACACCTAATAAATTATGAAAAAAATCGAGTAATATATATTTTTCTTATTTATATCTTATCTGTTTTATAATAATTATTAAATTTTGTATATTACTGTAAAGTTCTTATGTTATTATTATATTTATGTTATTATATTATTATTATATGTTATTTATTTATTATAATTTATGTTATTATAATTAATTGTTATATTTATTTGTTTGTAATCTATCTTTTAAGCTCTTGCGCCACTCTTGTACATGATTGCTAAAGATTGGCTAAAATTGAAGTCTGACGAAGAACGGAAGATCATGATAAGATGCGCACGGATTCCTCGCATGATCATAATCTGCGGATTTATCATAATGTTTGCGTCGTTTATTTTATTATTTATTCTTCCGTGCTTCGGAATTACCATGCGATACATAACAAACGTGACCGATCCGGGCAAACCATTGCCCCTGCAGACATATTATTTCTATGACACAGATACAAGTCCATACTTTGAACTTACATTCGTCGCACAAGGTGTTACTCTCATGGTGTCTGCCATGGGTTATACAGCGATTGACAGTCTCTTTGGATTGCTGATTTTCCATGTCTGCGGTCAATTAAAGAATCTTAAGGGTCGTTTAATGATAGGTTCTGAAAAACAATCAAATTTTGATCATGTTTTAGCAGACGCCATAATGGATCATGTACGCCTTATCAGGTTTCGTACATGATACTGTCATGATGAACACTTATTGTTTTATATAATAGCGCTAATTATTTCATAACGGCAGATCAAATAAAACTACACGATATAATTAATACATATATCTAATATATATATATATATTTTTTTTTAATTAAGAAAAATTATAACGCTTCTGAAACATAAACTCATTATATATATATATATGTGTATATATTGTATGAACATAAAATGTCTTCAAATATTTTATGCGTTCTAAAAGAATATTAATTGTTATATGTTAATAATGTAATAATTACAGTTTTATTTCTTATTTATTTTATTATTAATTTTGTTTGTGTATATCCTTTATATACACAAACAAAATCAATAATAAAATAAATAAGAAATAAAATTGTAATTATTACATTATTAACATATAACAATTAATATTCTTTTAGTATTTCTTTTAGTATATTCCTTATATTAATTAATAATATAGGTTGTCACTGATGGACGTCATTTATCTTTCATAAGACTGTCATTCCTTGTAACAGTTGTTGCAAATATTTTTGCACATATGTGCTTGTATTGCGTGGTTGGAGAATGTCTAATAGCTCAAGTAAGTTAATTATTATTATCTTAGCAAATTTATACAAATACTTTCTTGCTGCAAAAATGTGATAAATATTTTAATTTAATCAAAAAAGTTATTGTAAGAATAGATGTACATTCTTGTTTTCATGATGAGTTTGAGTTATTATATCTGCAGAATTGAAATATGAAACAAAATAATAACTTCGATAACGTTAAATTATGTTTATATAATTAATTTTTTAAGATTTATAAATTTGTTCGAAATACATTTTCAATATTTAATAAGATTATATCGCATTATATAGTGCGAAGGTATCTATCAAGCTGTATGTGATTATCATTGGTATGAATTGGAACCAAAGCAAGCCAGAAATCTAATTTTATTGATGACTCGCGCAAACAAGTCACTTTACGTAACGGTTGGAAAAATTTTTCCTCTAACGATGAATGCTTTCTGCAGTGTAAGCATATGTTTAATACAAAATTTTTTAAAATATTTAATAATTTTTTAAAATAAAATCAGTTATTTTATTTCAAAAACTGCAATTTAATATTTATAATATCTTTTCGTAAAAATATTAAACCCTATGATACAATTTTTAAGACAGCTTATTTATTTTAGTTATTAAAAACATCAGGCGGTTATATATCGGTTTTGCTTGCACGACGTGATTAATTATATCATTAAATTATATTAATAATCATAGTGATAAAAACAATATAAATATTATTGATCTAGACACAAGTGCTGGACTAAACATTACTTGAAATATCTACTTACATCTAAAATGTGTTATATTTTATTTTACGTTATATATTGTTTTATGTATTTTATATTTTTCTATTTACATCATAATCGATGAGTTTTGCTCAGCACTATTATATGATTACTTACAATTATGTCGTAATTATAATTAATGTATTGTTTTTCAATATTGATATAAATACATAAATTATATATAATCTTCATATTTTTATATTTTTTTTATGAGACTTTTACTTGAAATAAAATAAGAAACACCTTAATTGTGTCCATTTATCATTTTATTTATTTTATTTTTATTTTAAATGTTGTTTATATGCGCTGTGTTTTGCAGAGAGAACAATTTTAGCTTATTTGTTTTCAATAGAAGAAAAAAATTATAATATTTATAGATAAATACCATATAATACATATATACAATATAATGATGTATAACATGCATATATATGTATATATACGTATACACATATACATGTTATCATCATATACATGTATTTTATATATATGTGTATGAAAAGGTTTTTATATTTTTAAAATTTCTCGAAATTATGTCATAAGCTTATAGAGTTGTATGATATTTCCAATGTATAGTAGGGCTTTTCCTTCATACAATTTTTTGTTTCTTTTGTCTTACTTCACACGTTAATGAAAAATGTATTATCCTTCGATACGTAAATGTCTACGTGTGTATATATGTAGTGAAGCATCATAAAGTGGAAAAGATAATAATAAGTTTCATAATCCTGGGATACAACACATGTCCCTGTTTATTGCTGAACATGTTTGCTACTTGCTACTATACTTGACCATTTTTTTGCGTAACGAAGAACTGCTATCAAACTAGGGGGAACAATTTTAATATTTAATCTGTGTCTCTCGTCAAGTAGTTAAGGTCTTGTTACAAGCATGCATGATAATGGCAGTCTACCTTAAATTCTAAAAAATGAATAAAATTGTTCACGTACATTAGTCAATTACACCGACATTCCCACACATAGAAGTAATAACGAGCATATCATTAAAAGACTTTTTTGCTTTAGTTTATCGATTTCATATTCGAAATTTTGATATTTGAATTCAGGACATCCTGTGTATATGTATTCATACTTTATCCCAGAGATCTACGAATGTTCTTAGAATGTTGTCAGGACATCCTTCAGAACATCCCTTGGACATCTGTGTTATATGAGTACCTCTCAATATCTTTCAATAGTTTAATATTTTAGCAATATGGTTTATAAGTTCTCTTGTCGATTTCAAATGCAATAGCAAAAGATTGGGTAATATTTAAGCTGGACAAACTGGGCGCAGAGAAAAACGTGATAATATGAGACTAGCACAAATTACTCGATTAATCATGGTCACTGGAAATATTGTCAAGGTAATAACATTTCGGTATACGTAAGATATATAATGAATTTCGGATTACGGATCACAATAAACTGTTACTGCTGAAGACATATCACTTCTACGATACAAATAAGAGTCCGCAGTTTTACGTAAAATATGTGTTATGATCAGCTTTATAAAGATAATAAATATCAAGAGACATGGTAGATTGGCGAGTGTCTCGCGCCAAGTAAACGCGCAGCGCGAGGTTGTATTTACCCGTGATATATATAAAAGAGATACATATATTTGAAACACACAGTAAAATGTTATATTATCTTCTCTTTTTTGTCTACAATATTTTTAAGTTTTTGACTGGTGTAAAGAATCCATTAAATATACAACCACATTTCGAAGAAAAAACATATATTGCGAAGCACTATAAAGTATGAATAAAATTTGAACATTTGACGAACTTATAATGTACAGAGGTGCAATATTTTTCATCTCTTCTAATATTAAATAAGTAATAAACGATATTGTCACATACAATATATGCTTGTAAAGTCTTCTGCGTTACCAACATTGGAGACAGTGTGTCTTAATATTTAATGTAACGTTGGACGAAGTTGCAGAGTTTTCATACTTGTACAGGGAGCATGCGCAACAATTGTTTTATACTATATGCTGGAAAAAACGGGACATTACTCTTCAAGTTGTCAACATGGACATTACCGAATCATCAGGTTACAGAGGTATTAATTCCATATAATATGTTTTCTATAATATGTTAGTTGTGTACGTTTTACATGTTTAATGAATGAATTATTTTAAGTTTTTCAAATATCATCTTGTATAGGAATACCTTATATATAAAAATTTTTTAGATTTCGTGTGGGCAATTGAACTTCATCGCTTAGGTTTGGAAATAATTGGATTGTGGTCTAACAGTGAAAAATTTAAGAAAAGTTTGTGGCCAAAAATTCGGGTCGGCGTTATTTCAATTTTATTAATATTTATTTCTATTCCGACGATATGTGCAGTAATGCGTGTTTGGGGCGATATGATACTTCTAATAGACAATTTACAGATTACAATACCTATACTGATAGTATCTGTGAAATATGTTATCTTGCGATGGAAACAAACAGGTATGTCTAAAATTATTTAAAACAAAATATTATATTTAATATTGTATTATATTACTAAAGCATACAGCACAGTTTATCAAAAGGACATACCTTCTTGGAAATATCTTTAGGATGTCTTTAAGTCCTTTGAAATTATGTGCTGTATGGGAATTGCTTTCTTATGACATATATACTGTTGATCAGAAAAAATAATATCAGAAACCAGAAATTATATATGTGATTTATACTTATAATATAACATATATCAAAATAAATTTTAAAATATACAATTTTCCTTTTAGTTAAATAACATATACCTATAAACGGTTTAACATTATATTCTTAAGAATATATATGTTTCATTTATATTTATTTATATTTTCAAGTTCTCTGGTCAATTATGAATATGATAGCGGAAGACTGGATGGCATTTAAACTGGATGGAGAAAGAAATGTGATGATAAAACGAGCACAAATAGCGCGTTTTATTATGATAATTGGATACGTTCTCGCAATAATAGGGTTTCTCTCAGTAATTGTTCCTCCTTATTTTGGCATTCAAATAATGTACGCCACAAATTTTTCGAACCAGAGCAAATTGTTACCGTTGGAGACGTTTCATTTCTACGATACAGATAAGAGTCCGCAGTATGAATTGACATTTTTTATTCATGTTATAACAACTTTATTAGCAGCTATTATTTATATGTCTGTAGATATGCTTTTGATACTAATAATTCTTCACATTTGCGGTCAGTTAGAAAACTTCAAATATCGATTACTTAATTTGGTTTTGTGCAAAAATTTCAACAAAGTTCTAAATAATATTATAGCGACTCATCTACGACTTATCAGGTACGAATTTTTATTGCAACAAAAAGTTTAACAAAATAATTTTAGGAATATACCACAGAAAAAATATCTTTTTATATAAAAAAAGATTTTAAACTTTAAATATTATGTCATTTTTTTCACATAACATGACATAAATATTAATGTTTGATTATGTGTTATTAAATAATATATCATATTTTCTATTATTTACCTTGCAAGAATTCAACGAACGAATATATTTTACAATTTATTACATTATCATTACATTTATACTTTTTTATACTTTTATAATTCATTTATTAAGAATTTTGATTTATTTTTATTTTAAGTGTGCAATTAAATATATTGCAAATGATGAGAATCAACGACATTTTATATTTAAACTGTATAAAGAATTTAGATGTATAAAAAATGTACCATAATATACATTGAACATATGGAAAAGAAATTTGAAAATTTATTTCTGACATCAAAATGAGAAAAAGATTCTTATAAATATGTCCGAAAATGTTTCATTTATGAAATGTCTATTATATGTATATACATTTATAGGTATATACATTTTACAAAAACATTAATGTTTTAAATATATTTACATATATCTAACATATTTTTCGAACATATGTTTATAGAAACTTTTTTTTGCCTTTATTGTCACAAATATATAATGTTTTTTTTGTGTTACGTACATATTTCTAGATATTTGTATAATTTTCTTGGTTTTAATATGACTGTACTTTATTTTTATTCTTATAGATTCGCCGAAAAAATTGAAAATATATATTCTTTAATGATGCTAATAATGGTACTTTATTTTGGTATTGTATTTTGTCTAAGCGGTTTTGTATTTACTGTCGTAAGTTCCAAGTTTTTAAAAAATGAAAAAAATATTTTAGTATATAGTATGTTGTATATATATTTCTTTATTTTCTATGAGATACACATTTTAGTTTCTTACTGATAAAAAAATGAATGATGTTGTTGTCACAAAAGTTTACTATTCAACAGTTCTTGTTATTGCCTTATTGATGAATACTTTTCTGTATTGTGGTGCAGGAGAGCTTATAATAGAGCATGTAAGTTACACAGTATATACAAGATGTCCCATTTTAATCGATCACCCTTCTGAATTTTTTTGTATATAATTAAATATATAAACTTAAAAAAACTAAACTATTTTAAATACAAAAACTAAAATATTTTAAATAATTATTTTATTTGTATCAATACTATAATTATTGTTATTTCCTGAAATATAAAACTGACATAAAATAAAAACTATATTTTTTGTATAATTTGTTCATAAAAATATATTACTGGAATATATGACAATCAACTCTGAGTACAAGATTAATTGTTACATATTTTCACAGTTTTATTTAAAATTAAATAACTTATTTATACGATGATGTATTTAAAAACAATATTTTTTAAATATCTAACAGTAACAGTCGGTTACCGTCTCCCTTACATATAATTGTATAATTCTCATAAATTAGCATTATACTATTAAACATTATTTTTATTAAAAAATTTGTTAACGCTAATTAAAATGCAAATTTAATTAAGTCAAGTGAACTATTTGCTGTTTCTGATTTTTCTTCTAATCAGTTATAAAAATTAAATCCCAGTTAATTTTTACTAATATTTTAATACATAAACTTCGTTTGAATTATAATGGGATTAATATCTCCATACATATATGTTATTTGTTAAGTGTAATGCAGTACATCGTGCTATATGTGATCTTGAATGGTATAAATTGGAATCAAGAGAGGCGAGAAATCTTATTATATTAATGATACGAGCTCATCAACCGTTTCGCATCACTGCAGGAAAAATTATTCCATTAACTATGGCTACTTTTTGTAGTGTAAGATTATTTAATATCTTCATGTTTTAATTTTTTTACAAATAATGTTAAAATTTTATCATATTTCTATAGGAGCTACTGTTTTTGTGTATGTATTTTTTTTTAAAGAAAGTGTCATTCATTAATTGGACCGCCAATATAAATGGAAAGCGCTTAGAATACATTATCAATAATATATATATATATATATATGTATATGTATATATTGTACAATTAGGATATTGACTGATGTTGTTCTTGCTTTAAATCACGATGAGATATAATTTTAAGTATAATTTTATAAAAATGAGGTAAATTATTATCCATTAGTATACATAATTCTTTTCACATAAACCGAAAAATAAACTCTTTTTCACCTGAATCGATTCGATTAAAAGTAAACTAACCCTACTTTATCTTATCTTCATAGAAATTAATTTGAAGCGGAAAATACAATATGGATTACTATTTACTCCCACATTTCATATCCAAAATATAATATCAATATACTTTCGTTTCATGCGAAATAAGATTTGTAATTTAGAAATTTGTACATTTATCGCAGTCAACAATCATTAGGATTTAATATCCATCAGTATTTTTTCTCAGATTCAAAAATCATTGTACTTTCAAATTGTATAAAAAATTATGCCCATTGCAGTTTCTTATGAATTAAAATTCGGGCCTCGAGTGAACAGTATTGAGACATAACTAGAATTATAAAATGACTCCGCTAAGTGCTAGAATTATCCAAAGTTTGCTATTATTATAAGTATGACGTATTGTATTATATATCAATGGTCTTATCTGTATTCAGGATGGTGACAGCACAATCATGGTGGAAATCTATTAAGATCAGATCTGTCGTCAAAATTATCAATAGACATCTTAAAACTTGTTTTAGTATTTTAATCATATATGGTGTATCTAATCAATTCCCTATGTCTGATTTTCGAAATGCCGCTTCGAACATGTTCTGCCATCATGTAAAATGCTGAGCATTCAGAGGAAATAATAAGGCACAACTTATATTAAATCGATTGCATAAATCAAACGTATTATTTTGATTAGTTCAAGAATAAAACTTAAACCGCAAAACTACATTTCTCTTGTCGAATGCACATGAATTAAAAGAGTATCTAGTGACTGACAAAGGATGACATATACAGAGTTAGCTTGCGATTATATCAAATTAAACTAGGACTATGGAGAGGTTTTCATCAAGCGTACTCACCAAATTTTATACAAATGTGTTATAATGAACGTGGTGTATTGAGGCAACAAATCTACCTCGATAACCAAACGTTCGTACATGTTATGCTCATCACACTATGCAAGCACTATTTTATTACTGTTATTTTATGCTGCAGATATTTGCATAGTGCTGTCATGATTATGTCTCGACATGCAGTTGAAATGTTTATATATGATGGTATTAACTAAAGTTTATATATTTTTATAAAAAGAAGATATATGATTTTTAACTCATTTAATAATATATTGATTTTCTATTTCTTGTTTCTAATTGTTTTATGTACGATAGTGGTTTTGCTGTCATACACAAACATAGTGCGCGTTTAAACTTGGGTCATCTAAAAAGTATCCGCGGTTTTTTATCACTAGATGATGTTGATGGTCACTTTTTAGATGACCCAATATTTATACTATATTTATATATTATACTATAAATATATATATAAATACATTATATATAATACTTAAAAAATGAGATCTAAAGCTCTATATTAATAAAGTAACGCATTTCTTTGATATGAGCCGAAATACCAATTTTTCTTGGTTATTTTAACTGCCATTTTGATAGTTGTCTGTAATCCCGGTAAAAAATTTGTCATGCATATGTATAAATATGTATAAACATACATTTGTCCATATGTTCATATACCCTTTTTTCTTTTGTAAAATTACTTTTTAGTGTAATAGAAATAATAATAGTAATGTGAAAACATTAAAAATAATTAAAAAGATAATTTTCGCACTATTTGTTTTAGAAAAAAATTAAGTTTGAAGAAATATAAAAAAATTACTTATGTATAATTGTATATAAAATTATGCATAATTATGTATGAGCAATTTCTTTTTACGTTTTTTAAAAATTTGTTCTTTTTTTAAAACAAACAATGCGAAAATTATTCCTTTAATTATTTTTTGTTATTTTCACATTACTATTATCTATTACACTAAAAAGTAATTTTACAAAAGAAAGAAAAATGTATGAACATATATGGACATATTTCATATATAATTATACATGTATAAGTATATTTATGTGTGTTTATGTATGTTCATATTTATACATATTCATGCATAAAAAATGTTTTACCTGAAGCTATTACAGAATATTACTGTAGGTCTTGCAAAAAATAGATATCGTATGGTTGTGCGCATGTGATGACAGTCATATGGTATCTGAAATACGTCCAATACTTTGACGAAGACATCAAAGTGCCAGTAAGTTATAATTGTTCTTCTAATTCTATGCCCCCTCTATCGATTATCTTATATGACTCAAGTCTATTCACTCGGGGTTCAAATCGGACATATAGTTCTTAAAGTTTCTATTCACGTTTTTATATTTCCTGTTTAAATTAAAATTTCAATAAGAAGAGAGTGTGATCTAATTAATATTCGCAGTAATTTTATATAAATTATGATATTGTTAACCTATTGTTAAAACAGATTGGATTTTATCACAGTTTATTAGATTTCAGTTTACAGATTTCGTGATGAACATCATAACAATAAGATAGTGTAAGTTTATGTAACTAAATGTTGAAAAGTATTTGCAAATAAAATAAATGCAAATTAAAGTAATCGTGATCAGTCAGTATTCTGATGGATGTAAATGAAAATACATAAATTGACAACATAATCTTTAGTCAATATTATTTTAAAGTATATTTGATTTCTTTCGAGATGTTTGCAAAATTTAAAATAAAAATATAATTATTTTTAGGTATTAAAAACATCATCTGGTTATATATCATTTTTAGTGACAAAACATGGTTGAAAATCACAATAGTGTATACGTATGTATATACATAAATGTGTGTGTGTGTGTGTGTGTGTATGTGTATGTGTGCGCGATATGTGTATATTCACGAAAAATAAGGATTTGCAAATAAATAATTACGAATAAATATACTTAATACTGTTGTATTAAACAATTGTTATTATAAAAATAAAATTTTTTTTGCCCATTAA